GTCTGGTGCAGCTCTGCAGTGAGCACTTTGCCTCCTCACTTAATCAAAATTTAATCAGAGCAGTTAAATCAGGGCAGAAAATCTTGCAGACATGTGTCTAAGAATAAGTTCACTTCCCTTTTAATAGCATATAATAAGCTATTTAATGAAGGGTGTAGGAAAGTTAGTGAATCAGGAAGTACAGAGGATTAGTAAAAAGGAAGTGGGGGCAGCTATGAAGAGAATAAAGATTAGAAAGGTGTTTGGTCTTTGAGACATTGCTGCAGAAGTATGCAGATGTCTAGGAGCAATGGCAGTGGACTGTTTGACCAGAATGTTTAATACAATCCTGGAGAGTGAGATGAAGCCTGAGGAAAGGAGATGAAGTCTACAGGAACCAATTTTCAAGAACACGGTGATGTGCAGAGCTGTAGTAACTACAGAGTAATAAAACTAATGAGCCATAACATGAGGATATGGGAAAGAGTTGTTAAAGCTAGATCAAGAAGAGAGGTGATGACCAGTGGGCAGCAGCATGGCTTCATCCAGAGAAAGAGCACTACAGATGTGATATTTGGTTTGAATGGAGAAGATCATAAGGAGTTGCAGTGTGTTTTTGTAGATCTAGAGAAAGCACATGATGGGGTACTGTATGAGGAAGTCAGGCATGACAGAGAAGCATGTGAGAGTGGTGCAGGACATGTATGAGGACAGTGAGACAGTAGTGAGGTGTAAGGTAGAAGTGACAGATTGATTGAAGGTGGGGTTGGTTTTCATCAAAGCAGAGAGCCTAGAGAGGTGGAGGCATGCTGTTGAATATGGAGCTGTCAGTCAGGAGGAAAAGAAGAATACCACAGAGAAGACCCTTAGATGTAGTAAAGGAAAGCATGCAGATTTTTTGCATGACAGAAGCGGATGTAAGTGATGGGGTGAGATGGAGACAGGCAATCCACTGTAGTTAAAAGAAGAAGAAGAAGACGACAATAAGCTGTTTAAAGTTACCACAAGGTTAAAGCACTCTGTGAGAGAACCTTTGACAGATGAGTAGAACTCTTTGTTGCTGTGTTGCAGACCTGGTGTCAGCCACCAATACCACCAACGTGAACATCCCTCAGATGGCTGACACACTGTTTGAGCGATCCACCAACGCCAGCTGGGTGGTCGTCTTCAAGGCCCTCGTCACCACACACCACATGTGTGTCTATGGCAATGAGGTTAGTGAACAGTAAATAGACCATTTAACATGTGAAGCAGTTTGGTTTAAGCTTGAATCTCTTCTAATCAGGATAAAAGATAAATAGAAATGCTGAATAGTATATATTATAGTATACTTTAATATAGTAAAGTTTTTTTTCTAATTGCTGACAAAAACAGTCACCCCTTTGAAATAAATAATAAATGTCTGGTGTGGTGTGAAATTACCACTTTAGAGAGCTGAAATTGGTCTTTCAAGGCATTTGCAGGAAGCCTGATGTTTCACAAATAAATAGAGGCTTTGACCACAAGTTAGTGGAATGGGTCCACTGTGCATTACTCCTGTAAAAGCTATTAAATAATGGAATAAAAGCTTGAAAAGCACAACAAAGAAAACCCTTACTAGAGATGTCAATGCTGTGTTGTTGGCTGTAGTTTTCAGCTTTGACTTCTACAGGAATGTTCACTGGGTTTTCTTTCTCTTTCTCAGAGGTTCATTCAGTACTTGGCATCCAGGACATCCTTGTTCAACCTCAGCAACTTTATTGACAAAACCGGATCTCATGGTAAGACGACAGTCTGATCAACTGTAATATCCTCCCTTTGTGTCGTTGTGTATCGTTCTTTGTAAATGGATAATCTGATAATAACCGCACATTACTGAACTTTCTCATCCTTTGCTCCTTAG